GGACTCGATGATCTTAGAGGTCCTTTCCAACCTCAATGATTCTATGATTCTATGAAATGAGCTTGGGCTGGTGAAAGTAGCACACCGGCAGCCACAAAGGGCTGGTGGGTGTCCGTCCATGCAGTGAGGAGGAAGAGGTGGAGGGAGCCTGGCAGGGCAAAGGCTGTTTTAGCCAGAGAGCACTAGTGATAGGAGAACAAGTGGCGCTGAGGATGGAAGTGAAAATAATTCTAGCTACTAGGGGAAGGGTGAGAGTCAGAGAGCACTTTTCAATGCCACTGGGTGTTAAAAGCAGAAAGGGCTGGTGGGTGTCCGTCCATGCAGTGAGGAGGAAGAGGTGGAGGGAGCCTGGCAGGGCAAAGGCTGTTTTAGCCAGAGAGCACTAGTGATAGGAGAACAAGTGGCGCTGAGGATGGAAGTGAAAATAATTCTAGCTACTAGGGGAAGGGTGAGAGTCAGAGAGCACTTTTCAATGCCACTGGGTGTTAAAAGCAGAACTATTTTTGAGACTGAATTTGATGAGTTTACAACAGAAATTGTATGGCATGTCTGTGTAGGAGAGCAGGGGACTGTACTCCCAGTCCTGCCTCCAAGAGCCCCATTAGTCTCCTGATCAGTCATGCAAGTTAGTTCTGTGTGCTCTGCCCTCTGCTTTTCCAAACGGGCCTGAAGAAGCTACGCTGTGTGGGAGAAATGACCATTTGGACAAGTACAATAGTAAGCTGTGGTTCAGGTAGCTGATGGCAACCTTTGATTTTGTTTATGGTTAACTGGAAGGCAGAGAATTGGGGTGGTATTATATGTACAGTTCATAAATCAACATGCAGGCCAGTTTGTTGGCACGAGTGACAGTACATGAATGCAAGTCACTGTCATTGTCTCTCTAAAATCTCTCTGGAGTCTCCCAGCCCTGAAGTATGTTGCCAGTAACACCAGAGGCAGCTCCTGATGCCACTAGCCGTGAGTCTGAGCGCTGGTGTATCTGGCTTTACTTGAGAATTGTGTTTTCTGGCAGTATAGAGTATGTCTGTGTATCTGTTGCTTGGGATAGATACTCTTTTCAACTTGGCTCCACTCTATGTGGCTGTATGGCACTGAGGAGGTTAAATAGGTAATGCCAAAATAGACAAAAGTTGTGTTACAAAGTCAACCAGAAATACGGTGTTTTGCTTACTGGATCATTAAGCAAAAATGTCCTGACTTGTTAAAAAAAAAAAAAGCCTCAGTTTGCGTTTCTTAAAATATTTCAACAAAAATCTATGTGCATGTATGTTTTTGTATTTGTTTTCAACGTGCCCTTCTCCATCTGTCCTGATGTTCAATTAAAATGCAGATAATGTGTCCCAGCTTGTAAGATGGATCACTGCTGAAGTGGTGTCATGTTTGGGCTAGCTTATCTCTTGATAAATACTTCTGCTGTCCATTGAGAGATTAAACTTCATGACTACTGAGGTCTGTTTGGGGGTCTTACAGGCAGATAAGACTGTTACTTGCTTTTATTAAAAGATACCAATTTACATTTGCTAAAGGACCTTTGGATGGCATTTGCTATTGAGAAGGTGGCAGTGGCATAATCAAACGATAATACTTGTATGTGAAACTGGCTTTTCCATTTCATAAGTATTATAATTTATTGACAGGAGTGCTTTATGGAACCCTCTTGTGTCTATAGTGTGGAGATGAGAAGCTGAGCTGCTGTTACAAGACCTCATTTAGCTGTCTAGCAGAAAAGATTTCTTTCCCTGAGTCTAATCCAGCAGGAGCCATGGAAGAACATTATCAGCTAGGTACAGAAATCTCAGGCAGCTCGGGTGTGTGGGACACATGTGGATGCCGTGGTCTGGAGTCTGTCTCACCGTGACAGCCAGGCAGTCAGGGTTCCCACCACGGGGAACACGCTTCTCCTTCTGGGGGTTGCGTACTGGCAGTGCTGGACGTACTGAGGTGCTTTAACGGAAGAGGTGTTGAGTCGTGCAGTAGGAGTGGTGAGTGGCCAGCTTCTCTAACCGAACAACTATCTGAAAAATTTGCTGTCTCTTACATGTATGTAGGGGGTAGAAAAGAGATTTGTCATAGACAGCTCTCTGAATAACAAACTGCTCAGTGCCACTGAAGAGATTCTGTGCAGGTCTGGAACCTTGTTTGTGCTAGTATAAAGTTTTATATAAATACAGCATTTGAGTATGTATTTCTGAATCTGTGCCTACTCCCCGTTCGTGAGCAGGAGGATACAACTTTTTAGACTCTACTGTTCTGTCGCAGTAAAAGGATATGGGAATTTGTAGGCAAAGACTGTTTTCATGTTCCAATACACAGTATCTCTGGTTTCATTTCCATTTTACATGCCATGAAAGTGATTGAAACAGCAGAGTATACATATGTATGTGTGAAACATCTCTGTGCCCCTGAGAAGTGAATTCTGGAAAAAAGCACTTAAAATTGCTCAGCTTATTAAGGCTGGAGTCTCATGCAGTTTTGCTTAAAACATAAATAAGTAGACGTCACGGTGCAAACCATTTGGTAATATGAACTATGGGCTGAAACTGTTGGTTAGTTGTTGGCTTCTGTCTTCGTGATCTGCTGTTCTGCCACTGTAGGAAAACTATAAGGCAAGGCCAGAGAGAGGGAATGGGTGGAAGGGACCCAGTGAAATGCAAACCGTGCCCGCACCAGGAGGCTTACTTAGGCTTACTTGTGCTGGTAGTATCTTGCTCTTGGTCCAAGTTTTAGTGGCATTTTGGCCATTCCTGCCGATCAGATCAGTAGAGCTGTTTGTGCTGTGGCTAACCCCTTACCCCAGTCTGAACACAGGAATAAGGGAGAGGTAAATGGCGAATTCAGCATGATGTGTGCGTGTTGATTTAGCACCTACTGTTTCCCCCTCTTGCAGGCATTGTTCTTGATTCCAGACATACACCGTTACCTTGACGAAGAGCCACTTACGTGTGATCATGGAGTATGATGTAAAGCATGGCTCTGAAAAAGAGTTAATGAATACATGGAGCAGGGCTCGCCTTGACGGCACCAGTGTGTACCAACCTGTATCCACAAACATAACTCGGCATGACGAGCGTCGGTGGTGGGCTTAGGGGACTGCGGGTTTGCTCTCTAGATCATCATAACTTGTTGCCAGTTTTCATGTGATGATTTTATGCAGCTGTAGCAACATGAATTAAAACTCCTAACACCATTCTGAGCCTTCATTTCCGTTTTCTAGAATTTTTTTTTTTTTAAGTCACAGGGAAGTTTTAATTTGCCTTAAGTTACACAGTTTGTTAGAGATGGGCCTGAAGAACGCAGGATATGTTTTTCCAGAAGTAACAAGTAGTTTGTTCAGCTATGGCTACCTTAAAAAGCCCTATTTTTCTAGAAGGCAGGAACTGCTCAGCCCTTTGGTCTGAACATCAGGCCTCTTCCATATACACTGGGTTATGCATCTGGAATCGTTAGTCATTCTGAAAGTCTTGGTTGAGTTGTGAATCCCAGTCCTTCACTCGCTGTCATCTCGGCTGTTTCAAGGGCTCATTAAATAGGTCTGCTAGTTTTAAGATTGGAGGAGAGTCCAAAGTATACCTATTGCTTTTATTTTCAATATAGAAATCCAGAATCTTCATAACACACATTTTGTGTTATTTTTGGCCATATAATACTCTGCCATATCTGATTCATTTAATACTTATGGGAGATATTTTCTCTTAGAGGAAGATTAGGAAGAATGCCCATGCCCTTGTCCTTGCAAAAGCCAGACCGTCATTGTTACTGGGATTATTATTATTTTTTCTTGCAGTATGCTCAGGGGTTTCTTGCAGGCGGCTCTGCCTGATTGTTTAGGTGGTAGAAGTGCATGGACTGTGCTCAGTGATCTTTACTGTCCTTTTTGTCTTGCAGATCGAGGGATTTTAATGGCTTTCAGGTAGAAGCCAAGTGGAGACAATCAAAATGAATTCTATGGACAGGCACATACAGCAGACCAATGACCGGCTGCAGTGCATAAAACAGGTAAGCTGAAGGTGGAGACCATTGCTGCTAGACAAGCATTGTGTATTGTGTGGCAGGGTGCGTTGTGCAGTATGGTTACCTGTTGGTTAATGAATATCCTTGCCTTTTAGAGGGGAGGAAAGTGGTAGGAATGAGACATTGTAACCTCATTGAAGAGAAGAACAACTGCTGCAGGAGCTAGTGGTGTATAAACCTCAAAAGCCAAACTTTCCCTTTCACCATTCTGAGAAATCTTCAGCCTGTAGACTCACCAAACCTGTCTCAGCTGAAAGCAGAGCGGTGCTAGTCCTGCCAGCTCTGCCCTGAAGGTGTCACAGCGGGCAGCCATCGTACTTGTGCTCTGAGCACAGTAATTTGAAATTTTGACGGGCCAGTTTTGATTCTAATCCAGTATCTGACCTGAGACCTGCACTACCTTGGAGACTCGAACTTGGACGGTTGGCATACCCCCAAGTGCTCGGGTTAATCGGTTTGTGCAGAGATGTGAAAACTTCCATTTGCAAGGTAAAATTTTCAGAAGCACCTATTTGTGAAGATGAAGGGCCCATATAATTCACTGAAAGGCAGTGGGATCTAAGTATCATTTACAGATTTCCCCAGTGTAACTGTGCTTGCAAATGCTTTTATAACCAAGTGAAACTACAAAGGCGAGGATGGAATGAGCAGATGCTATCTTTCCCTGCTTTACCCTTCTCAGTGAGCTTTGCTCTCTGGCATTGCAGGCAGCATGTATCCTCCTCTCACGTACGTTCTCCGCATGCAAGAATTCTTACAGAAAATTTATAGCAATTGTCCTTTGTGTAGAAGAGGTGAGCAAGAGAATGGTTTCTCATGTTGATGTTTCCTGTTTCTGTCTCTAAACCAATGCATGCATGCAGCCTACAGGTGCATAAATGCAAGCAGCACACAGGTATTTTGAAGATTGGTTATCCCAGCTGGATCCATGAATGAGCTCCAAAGTTTATCTCTTCAGAACTGGTTGAAATTTTCTGAATTACACTGGAAAAACAGAAAGACAATATTCTGTGAAATAATGTTCCCAAACCATTTTTTTCTGTTGTCTGAACGGTTTTCTCTGTCAGTTCAGGCCACAGCATGTTTAGAGGCCAGAGTCCTGCTGTTTCACTTTTATATTCGTAGTAATTAAGTTAAAAAACTCTCTGCCTACTTTTGCTGTGGGACATGTGCATACCGCTTCTTGAGGGAGCGCAGCATTTCCCTGTTCATAGATTTCTTTGTGTTGTAGACACAAGCACCCTAAATCAAAGGAACTGATGAAAAATAAGCATGGGGGTGGTACTGGATCGGTCTAGATTTTGAAACTTACTTTATTTTCTTTTATTTACAACTTCTTCAGGAGGGGCAGTGGAGGGGAAGGTGCTGATCTCCTCTGTCTGATGACCAGCGATAGGACATGAGGAAATAGAATGAAGCTGTCAGGGGAAGTTCAGATTGGACATTAGGAAAAGGCTCTTCACTGAGAGGAGTGGTCGTGC